GTTTTTTTAGAGCCACAAATCTTCTCGGGTAATCCCAAGTACATACCCATACCACCTTCTTTGGTTATGCCTAGAGCTTGTTTTAGGTCTGCTTTTTTTCTCTGGTGGGATCTTACTACCAAAAAGGATAGAAGATTTTGCACAGTTTAGTCGCTGTCCTGAAGCTTTCCGATAGCAGTCGATTATCTTCATCAATTCTTCAAATTATGTCTTGTCTGCTTTACAGAAGAACAGACTATCATCTGCAAAAAGCAAGTGGGAGATTAGGGGGCAAGTCTGGGCAACTTTAATCCCGGTAATCCTTCCTTCTGCTTCCGCTCCTTTGACTTGGGATATTAGCGCCTCTGTAAGAATGATGAACAGAAAGGGAGATAATGGGTCTCCCTGGCGTAGTCCTCGAGAGGGTCTAATGTTGCTTTTCGCCTCTCCGTTCAGGAGTACTTGATATGACACAGATGAGATACACCATTTGATCCATAAGACCCATTTTTCTGAAAATCCCATCTTCCGCATTAGTGCTTCGAGGAAACCCCACTCAACCCGATCATAAGCTTTACTCATGTCGGTTTTGATGGCTACAAATTTTGACTTACAAATTGGATTTGTATGCAGTGCATGGAAAACTTCTTGTGCCACTATGATATTATCTGTGATAAGGCCTCTAGCTACAAAAGCTGATTGAGTCTCCAAAATCAGTTTTGGGAGGAATCTTTTAAGCCTCTTGCTTAGGATCTTCGAGATAATCTTGTAACTGGCGTTACATAAGCTTATAGATCTGAATTCTGACATTTCTACTGGTCTTGCAGTCTTCGGAATTCAACAGATATTTGTCTGATTCAGTCGTGGATCAAACATATCTGTAGCAAAGAAATCTCTGACTACTATGATAATATCCTTCGACGTCACTTCCCAGAACTTCTGATAGAACAGGCTGGTCATCCCATCTGGTCCTGGAGCTTTCTCTGGATGAATCTCAAAGATTGCTTTCTTAATTTCTTCATCAGATGGGTAACTCGTAAATGCAGTATTTATAGCTGGAATTACTTGCGTGGTAATATACCAGAGTGCTTCCTCAAAATCTTGAGGTTGGGATGTTGTGAACAGATCTTGGAAATACTTAGCAGCAACTTTTTCTATTCCCTGCTCAGTCTCTACCCAATCCCATATGCATTTTTAAGTTTGATGATCCTGTTTCTAGCTTTTCTTTTCTTAGTCGTGGCATGAAAAAATTTAGTGTTCCTGTCACTCTCCTTAAGCCAATTAGCTCGACTTTTCTGTTTCCAATAGAGTTCTTCTTCTCAGAAGACTGCACACAGATTCCACTTCAGAGTTAAAAGTTCGTCATTTGAGATAGAATCATCTTGTTGAGCGATGTCCAACACCTCTTTGCTCTCCTCAATCTTCTTTATTGCATTTCACACAAACACTACTATCTATCATATTCATATACGTTATTATTCAACCCCATAAACTTAATATCTTATTTTCCCATCATTTACCTAGTCAACTATATACAGACTTCGATGTTGTTTGATGGCTGTGACATCAGGGTACGTAAATGATTTCATCGCGCGCTGACAATTTTAATTTGTTTTAGCTTCTCTCTCCGACGTAGATATAATTCCAAAATAAATTCCATGCAAAAGCGAATATTAAGCCCTAAAAACAAAATAAGTAACAGAAACCATTGACATATTTTTCAACGCGTTAGGTGACCTATCTTTCACTTTAGAACACCCTTCACGTCTCTATATAAACCTCGGATCCGTTATGCTTTGTTCTTCACACTACAATAATCAACTCTTAGTATATCCAAGTGATCTTTATTTACTCAAAATGGCTTCAAATCAACTTATTGCCATTTTAGTTCTCGTTGTTACATTTGTATTTCAAAGTGATAACAATCAATGTCGTCGAAGCACAACTCACGACAAATTTCTACTCAACCTCTTGCCCTAACCTTCTCTCTACCGTCCAATCAACCGTTAAATCTGCCGTTAACAGCCAGCCTCGAATGGGTGCATCTATCCTCCCTCTCTTCTTCCACGATTGCTTCGTCAACGTAAGTTTATTTTTTTTAATATACCTTACATCCCAAGAAAAGTAGCAATGATAAAGAGAATGTATGAACGATCGTCATCGTGTGTGTTTAAGCTTTAAACTTTTGAAATTGTTGAGACTAAAATGATTATAAGGGGATTAAGGCGATGAGGGTTTATGTGATTTTGGAAGACTGAAACGTACCTTTTATAGTGAAATTACACATTCGAGTTATTTATTAATTTCTGTGGAGTTTGAATGAATTAGGTTCTAATTATTCAAAAGAACACTTTTCATGGAGAACCATGTTTTTTTTTTATTTGGTTTAACCTCAAAAGTGTATTTGGACAAAAATATGTTAGTTGATTAGATTAAACACCTAACACATCAATATGATTTGAGTACCAAATAAACCTCCGGATGTTAGAAAAAATGATACTCCTTCCGTTTTTCTTTATAAAATGTTTTAGAAGTTAAATAGTATATATAAAAAACGGAGGGAGTACAAGCTAAATAGTATTCCTGAAGTATGTATGTTTTAGTTGATACTTTTTAAAAATAATTTATATATTGCACAATCATGCTTTGTAAACTTGATATTCTACGCCATAGATTTTAAACTTGAAAAACTGTTTAGCTTTTTTTTTTGCCCCTCGACATTGGAAGGGAGCAAAGACTCTGTTGAGGGGACTAGTTGCACCCAACACTTCGCATAATTTCAACAAAATTTAGTAGAGTTGAACTCAAGTCCTTTCATTTCACGTCTAGGGTGCTTGTGTCTCAAGCCTCTTCCTAAATTCCCAAGTTTCTCTGTCTTAGCAAATCAAAGATTATTAATCATCAACAGCAAAAAAGTTGTTGGTAACTGAATACCAAGGTTACATATATTTTAGTTATTTGATTTTATACAGCAAGATTAATCATTTAGTTATATCTTCATTGCATTGTTAGTCCTAACTCCAACATGGAATACATTGGTGTATATTCGAGTTAGGCGAATGTCTCAAAATGATTAACAAAATCTCATCGTTTACAAGAAAATAAAATGATATTTCGTATAATGCGTATTAGCATAAATACAAGAAAACCAAATTAAAACTCAAACTCTGTATTCAGATATACACTAATAAAGGATTCATATCTCCTATATATTAAAAGAGAAACATTTTTAAAAAATAACATTTTTATAAGTATTTACAGTGGTGCCATTATACAGATGTGTTAACCCTATATTTATTTTCAGTTAAGTTTTTTAAAAAGACTTATATTACTAGACTAATTACATGATACATCATTATATATTTTAGGTCCATAAATATGTTATGTTTTGTTTTTTAAAATGAATTCAAATATAATAATATTAGAATTAATAATTTAATAAAATAAAATTTGTTTAATACTAATATAATATACACGAATTTTATTATATAAAATTTGTTTAATACTAATAAAAAGCAAGTCTTTTTCATGTTTAGCCTTATCACTCAGCTTCCGAAGGTCTCCACATATGATTCTTTTATCTGACATATAATATATGGGAGCGTTTCTATCTTCCTGGTGCACCTCTCTTAAAGCTCGATTATTTTTGTCCACAATAGTGTTTACCATTTGATCCGCAAGTAGTGGGCATTTGTTGAAGTCCCAGTAGACATCAACAGGTTCCATAGCTGCCCATTAACAAGTAAAAATATTTATGCAGTAAGCTAATCCACCGTTAAAAATCAATAAAAATAAGGGATAGAGAAAGAGAAAGAGATCTTACTCGGAGTTCTTTTTGTTGGGAGATTTTTTTTGTTTGGGGTGTTTTTTTGGGGAGGGGGAGATCGGATGTGGAAAACGAACCATATTGTTTGGAAGCCATGCTCTGTGTCTATCTGTGTTGTAACTCCTCCTATGTCTTTATCTATATAGGCTCAATAAAATTATAGCCACTAACTGACAATGATTTATGAAAATGTTTATAACAGTACAAATGCTGTGCAAATGTTACCAAATTTTAACGAAGGATGGGTTGATTTGAGGCAGACTTTGAGAAAAAGCAAGTCTTTTTCATATAGCACATTAATATCGAGGGGCAAAATTAATGTGCTATATGAAAAAGATTTGCTTTTTCTCAAAGTCTATTTCAAATCAACCTATATCTTTCGATAAAATTTGGTAACATTTGCCTTATTACGAAGTTTATATATTAAGCTTTTTATTTAGTTAAATTATATACAAAATATGTAAATCTGAGCAAAAGTTTTATTTGTTTTAGAGAGAGTATTTTTTAATCAAAGGTTTAGTGTTCACATTTGTGGTCTTCTCCGTATAAAAAGGAGTTGCACAGTGATGTTTTCCATATCAACCAATATCCACAGCGAAATATTTCGAACAGATTTGTACATATCTTTATGTTTGATATGTATATATTACAAAATTTCTGTTGAAACAGTTTTGTTATCATTCCATACGTACTAGGAGTTTTTCTATAACGTAAAGTGTGCCTAAGGACAGTGTTCTGTTGCAGTTTTTATAACTCCTACTAGTTTAAAAAGTTTCAAAAATGTGAAGTAGCTGAAAAATCTCACAAGAGGTTCCATGTTGATGTTGATGGAAAGAGCTTATTACTAACGTATTATTATTATTATTGCTGGCGGATAAGAGACACAGAGATCATTGATTGCTTCAAAGCAATCAAAAGCCTCCACAATAGAATGAGGTTTCAGAAAGTTCCAAAACTATAATAATTTCCTGTCAAAGTCCTTAACCGTGCCCGTTACAACATCACCATCCATTGGTACAATAACAGACTTGCTCATTTACACTACATATCAATATTCAATAATCAACAATTTTAACATAACACTACATACACACCTTTGTTTTCAACGTATGAAGGGTTATTGATTTGTCACAATTCCCCAAGTTATATTGACTATGTTTTTGTATATGATAAAAATATTGTGCAGGAGGAATCAATGGGGTTAAGTGTTCTTATCAGCTTTTAGAAGATCCAAAGCTCTTGTGTTTGGAGATTCTTACGCTGATACTGGCAACATGAAGCATGATGCAGTGTCTTGGAAATCTCCTTACGGTATAACTTTCCCCGGTAAACCTTCCGGCCGGTATTCTGATGGCCTAATTTCCACCGATTTTCTAGGTTATACTCTCACTCATTATAATATTTAAATTTCTGTTTTACTCTTTTTTCATACGTTACTATAGTTATTCGATTTCTCCCCCCCCCCTTCTTATGTTTACTATGACAATTTTTTATTGAAACGGATGGACATTAAATAAAACAATTTCGTTCATTCGTGGATGGATCATGTTCATGTGTGTAGCCAAAGTGTTAGGGGCAAAACCACCGTACCTCTACAGAACTCACGGGAAAGAGAAAGGACTAAAAAGAGGAATGAATTTTGCGTTCGGAAGGTCCATAGTGTATGATGACTCTCCGGTTGTTCGATCGCCCAACATGTCTACTCAGGTCAATCTCTTGGTTGACCTTTTCGTCGCCCGCCGTGTCTACACTTTCGACGACATTTCTTCCTCCGACGTCGCTGTCCTCACCTACTCCGGCCAAGACTATCTGGAATACATCGCCAAATATCTTGGATGCATGATTTTTCAATATTCATCATTTCTTTTACATTCATTGCACCTTGCATGCAGGTTTACCAAACGTTCGTACCGCTTATTGTGGAGGATATAAAGCATTGTCTGTGGAAATTGGACGGCCTCATATTTAAGAATATCGCAGTTACCTCGCTGCTACCGATTGGATGCTTTCCACACTTCACCTCTGCGTCCAAATTCCAGAGTTGCAACGAGCCATATAGCGAACTTGTGGATGGAAATCGATTTACTCGGTTTTAGGCAACCCTTTAACCAATTATTTGACCAAAGGATAAAACCACTTTTCAAATGTAATATTGGAGATTTTTAGATTTCTTCTGATGAAGAATAAAGAAAGAAAACCGTGGCTAATAAAAAATCTCTTAAGTTTGTTTGCTTCTCTTACAATTTTGATTGTGGTCATTTTTGGGTGTGCAATCTAAGTTGCACTTTCATCAATTTCATTTCAAATACATGCAACGTTAAGTTTGGCTTTAGATATTTCGATATTTCGAAATTAATCTTACTTAATAATTTATGGTACAAAACTAAAATGCATGTACAAAAGTTGACTCCACTTATAAGGCTACTCTAAATTAAGACACACTTGAATTTCGATCCTCTAAATTCTCTGCTTTAACCCATCATATCATCCCCACACTCTCGATTTCTGTTTGCCCCCTTTGTTTTGTCTAAGAGCATCCTCGTTGGTAAATTTTTTAAAAAGAGTATCTAAACTTTATTATAATAATATAATTGAATTATTCAATTAAATATTAAAGATAAAAAATATTGAATCAATTACAAAGAGACATCTGGTTTTTGAGTTTCTTAAATTGTTGAAAAGACCTCTCAAAATCTCTTAACCAAGAAACATCTTTTACTCTCTTTCATTTCATGCTTTTCTATTACTTTCATTATTTTTAATACTAAGAAACTCTCTAACAAACACCGATGGAGGTGGTCTAAGTTTCTCTTTGGCCTTAACCAAAAAACTATACACAAAAAAGTCAGACACCTTTTTAAGATTACCCTAGATCTTGAAAGTTTGTTCTAATGGAACTCTTCCTCTGCCTCTCTTTCTTCTTTGGTAATTTACAAACTATCTTATAGCTTTCACCACTACGGATTTTGTAGAACCTATAAGGCCGAATTATGATTATGATTTTTTCTTTTAAAAAAAAAAATCTGCACGAGGAATCAATGGGTTCAAATCAGGTTTTCCAACCAAATAAAAATCTAAAACATGAGGCACAATGCAGTGTCTTGGCAATCCCCTTACGGTTTCTCTTTCCCCGGTAAACCTTCTGGCCGTTATTCTGATGGCCTCATCGTCACCGACTTTCTAGGTTTCTCCTCTCATCATCAATCTCTGTCTCTCTCTCTTTCTCTCTTTTTCCATCAATTAGGGATGGGCGCAGATTGGATATTCATGATTTTTTTGTAGTTTGCTCCATTTTTAACAGATATTTAATTTTATGATTGATTTGCTTCAAAAATATACGGATATCCGGATTATTTACAGGTATTTGCGGATATTTATGAATATTTAGTTTAATCTGTTTAATACATACAAAAACGTGAAAATACATCAACTTTTATTAAAAAAAAAATATGTTACATCTAAACTATGAAGTAAAAAATAAATAAATTTTTTTAATTAATTTGAAAAATAGTCTATAAAAGACAAAGCTACAAAATTAAGATGATGAAAAGAAAAAATGATATTTTATATTTAAAAGTAATATTAACTATTTGAAACTCTAATATTAAACTTTATTCAAAAAATTTGTTGATATTTATTAACTAATATAAAATAAAATATTATTTATTAACATATTTTAAGTTTTAAACATATTATTTAATTTTTATTATTTGTTATTTAGTCATCTATTTTATATAATCAAAAAAGATTGGAAACAATTGAAAAATTTTAAAGAAAATTAATAAAGATAAATTAAAAAAATTATAATATAATAGATATATACATGATAAAATATACTAATATATAATAAATTTATAAAATACGGATTGGATCGGATATTCGATGTTGTGTAAAAATATATTTGTGATTTGCTCCGTTTTGTACGGATACTATATTTTACTATTTGCTTTGTTCCAAAACATTACAGATATCCAGTTTTTTCGAATCGAATCGAAGCAAATACTGATTCCAAGCGATATTTTGCCTAGTCCTACTATCAATGTTATAAATATAAACAAAATTAATTGATTCTTATTAGCCAGTGAGTCAAAAATACTTGGTATGAATATTTTGTAAAAGAGAATGAGATTTGATCTACGAAAGCAAACAATGCATAATATTCTTTTTGATTGGCCGCAAAGAAAGCAAAAAAAATGAATCTAATTTTTGCACATAAACAATATGACAGTTAGTTCACTGTTTATTGAAACGGGAAGTTAAAAAAAAAACGATTTTGTTGGGTTGTGAATGTATGCGTGCAGCAAAAGTCTTGGGGGCAAAATCACCTTACCTATGGAGAACTTACGGGAGAAGCAAACTTAAATTAAACAGAGGAATGAATTTTGCGTTTGGAGGGTCAGGAGTTTACGATTCTCCGGTTGAAAAATCAACCAACATGTCTATTCAGATCAGTTTCTTGGTTGACCTTCTCCTCGCCGGCCGTGTCTACACTTACGACGACCTTTCTTCCTCCGACGTCGCCCTCCTCAGGACCTCAGCTACCCCGGCAACGACTAAGCAAAAAAAAAATATATATATATATATGTATATATTTATCTATCTTTTTCTGCCATGCATATGCTAAGGTTTCGATTGTTTCAAACGTTAATTTCTCTGCCTTTACATGTGGAAAACAAATTTAAATTTTTTTAAAAAATGTGATTATTCTATGTGAAACTTGGCCATAACACTTTATTGCTAGAAAACTCATTTTCATGAAACTCTAAAATGCATGAACACCAAGATTCTTTTACGAAAACATAACTTTCGAGCAACAAAACATGTCCATAAGCAAATGTTCAAAAAAAAAAAAAAAAAACATGTCCACGTGAAGTGTTACGTAGCCTCTAGCGAAAGCCCATATCTCAAACCTAATCTTGATCCAAAACTTGAAGCCACCAATAAAATTGCAATTTTTCGAGTATGAATAATCCATCATAAAAGGTTGTCGGTATCGATTAATTAGAGATGAAGATAGATAAAGTAGCACTACGATAAACCATCACTTAAGTCGCTCCACAAAAACTAACAAAATTTGTGAAGAAAAAAAATGTCGGCTACTTTTTGGTTAAACATTTAGCAAAAATCCCTGCCATAATTTCCACGATTAAAGAAATAAAATGTTAACATGTTTTTAACAATGCCTTTTGTTTCTAAATTCTAACATAAATATATGTCATCAACATGCATGTTATCAAGGCGTTGATGAATTGGGATTTCTTGTTAATTTAAGAATTGTTCCTATCATACTTTGGGTGTAATCTTCTAATCTTTGAAATGTCAAATATTATCATGCACGTAAACTTGAGTGTATATTAAAAAAAAATATGATAGTAACCATCTCGGAGCAGTCTACTAAAAGAAGAAAAAGTTGCAAGATTTCCGCTGTTACTATATAATTTTCCCTACAATTTTAGCTGTGGATATGATAATATTTTTGTAACAAATTAAAGCTTGTGACGATTTTTACAAATCCTCTGGTAAAACTATAGAGTCGTAACTATTTCATTTTTATAGTTATGTAAAGCAAATTTGCTACAAATTACTCATAGATCGATTTTGTCTCATTTTGAATCAAAATAGATACGATACCCGAGATCCGATATGATAGGAACTAATTGCGACCAGTGTGCTAAAACAAGAATTTACAAAGTTTCCGCTGTAACAATTAACGATAATATACTAATTCTTCTATCCCTTAACCGTATCATCAAACCGAGTTTTTCTAGAGAAATGACTGGACCACGGCCATAAATGGGATAGAATTCATAACCCTTTTTTAATGATTTTGGTGTGTCTATTATTGGTACGTATAGAAGTCTATTTCAAGAACTATTCCGTTTTAATTGCATGGGACTCTCTAGTTGGTGGACGATATTAAAGCTTCACTTTCCGACCGAATAAGTGCGTGACCTTCCCCATCAATGTTTTGTTTCTATGCCTCTCTCGATCCGACCGTATAAGCGCATGTTTAACTTAAAAATACTTTAGACTGTCAAGAAATTAGGATATGAGATCAGTCTATCGTATTTATATTTTACTACTTGACATTTTAATAAGATCTTATAATTTCTTATTCCAAACGTAATACATTTTTTTGGTGCTATAATGTAGCGACCCAAGCCCACATAAATTGGGAAAAGCCCAACAATAATTGCCAGCCCAGCATGGCCCAAACCTAATTACCCCCCATTGTCTCCTTCCTCTTCGATCAAAAAGCTGCAAACAACAACGTCGAACTGCCGCCTAGATCACGCCAGAACCACAGTCACCGTTTCAGACCAAGCCGGCGTCCCTGCTCGTGATTCCATAAACATGAGACGAAGTGCACGCGAGCCAACCCCGAGCTGCCGTCTTCTCGATCATGCCACCACCGTTCACCATCGCCGTCAATCTGCTGCTCCGAGTCATCACTGTCGTACCTGAGTCGCAATATTTGGTATGCGGTTCATGTTTCCCTCACCGTCTTCTTCATTTGATATTTCCTCGAGAGCACCGTAACTTAAACCGCCATTGTTGATGTGTACCTTCAGCTGCAAGTCATCTCCTCTATCTTGTGTGTTGTCGTCATTGTTGATTATCGTTGGTGAGCCAAGATTCCCACCTCTCTTTCGTTTTTGATCACATTGTCAGTTTCCCGAGAGTTACCATAATCGTGACATGTATGATGTTGTTCTTTGGTTGCTTCAGTCGCAAGTTTCGTCTTCTCCGTTGGGTGTTGTCACGTTAGACGGGCGTTATCATTCAGTTGGTAAGCAAGATCTCCTCCGTTGATACTCGCATTAGCCTTATACCATTTGTGCATGAATCGTATCGTAACTTGTGTATTGTTACCATTTGTTGCTTCAGCCTCAAGTAAGCTTTGTTGAGTTGTGATCGTGTTGCTGCGTGTCTGTTTCACTTCTGTTCATCCGAAAAGCAAAGGTGAGGGCGGGATCCGTGGATTCTTAAAGCTTCTAATTAATTAGTATTTGTAAATGTTAGGTTTAGAGAATTGTTGTTGATTGAGTTGATTGAGAAAATGAGGTTAAGTGATTGTTATGAGTTTAGATAATGAATTGTTAAGTTGATATGATGGGTTGGTGGAGAGTATATGTTATATTTTGGCGAAGTCGGACTGAGAGCGAGGACATGGCGATCCCGTTTAAGTATGTATTTCAGTGCAGTCGGACTGAGAATGAGGACATGGCGATCTCATTAAAGCCCGTTAACCGGCTGACGAGCCAAAGGATGGTGGAAGACCTTTCGAGGTGCCCGACCAGCCCAGTGTCATGATATTTTATATTGAGTGATTGGTGGCGGAAGACCTTTCGAGGTGTCCGACAGCTGGGATGTCATGTGATTTGTATTGAGTTATGATGTGATTAGTATATTGATGGTTAGTCATGACTAGAAGTTGTGTTGATTGATGTTTACTCTAGAGTTAGTATTTGCGTGTGCTATTAAATAGTAGGGTTGGGAATCGTGTGGGCGGAAATGACTTTTTTCACTGAGTAATTCGTTGCTCACCCTCCTCCTTTTCCCCTCTTAGTGTGTTTCTTGTGGTGAAAGTTAGGACGCGAAACACCGTTTTACGCCGTTTTGAAGAAGTAATGATTGTAGGAAATTCGTCGAGGTTTGATGTTTTTCGAGTAGATGCCAACAAGAGAGACATCAGAGACACTCCATCTCCTAGTGCATGGTGTGATCTTATGACAGTGACCGCTTCTGCATCAGATGTTTTGACGTTGAGGATGTGAATATCCCACAGTGGCCTTGATCTATCAAGAGGAATCACTGTGAGACGTGAGACATAGTCATCGACGAAGCTTTCTCCATCTTCGCCGATCTCTTCTAGGTCTATGTTTGGTGTAAATACATGGTCTTCTACATCAACATCGGTCTTGATCCATTTTGCACCATTATCTGACTGTGATGTTAACACAATTTAGACCCATCACTATATTAAATGTCAAGTATAGAATAAGGTTTCGTCTATATAAAAACTGCACACATACACCGTGAGCTTGTTAATTGTTTACCAATATTTCCATCTTTTCTTTGGTTTAAGTCTTTAATTCTTCAGTTAGCAATATTTTGCCTAATTACTGAAAATGGGAATTTATATTGTCTGTTTTCTCGTTGGCGAAATATATGATTGTGAGCTTGGTTGTTTTTTACATTTGTTTGAGCAACTCAAAATGAGTTTGCCCATACACATTGAATTATTGTCTTCACCATAAAGGAAACAAAACTGAAATTCGTTTTGGTCCTAGATATAAGTGGCAATACTAATATATATATAAAGTATATGTGTAGTGTTGTCAAAAAAAAAAAATATAAGTATATGGGTAGTTGATAAAATACCAATATGCTAGAGAAACGGGGATGCTTAGAAACGTTATGCTTCAAGTCATCTAGAATGACCTCAACATTGATCTTTGCTTGGAATCCGATAGTAATAACAATGCAGCTGTCCATGCCCGGAGATTGGAACAGACGCGCCATCGGGCTGAGTGGCTCCTCCTCTTCTTCCCTCTTCGGCATTGTTTGTCCCTCTCTTTCTTGTTTTGGTTAGAAGTTGAATGTATATATATATATATATATTAAAAAAAGTTGATGAGGCTTTACAAAATGTAGATTTTTTAGTGTTTGTTTCGTTGACAGGTAAGGACTTTAAAATCGTCATAAAGGATCACGTGCTTTTAGATCTCCTCTTCAATTCAACTTATCTTCGGCTTCTATTTCCCCCCAACAAATTTTTAAGCTGTTCCACCTGAACTTGTTTGACGATTACTAAAATCTGACAACAGTGACAAGTGTGGACATAACTTTATGTTTTAGAAAAAAAAAATGGTAACTTAAAAGTTTTCTAACTTTATATGTTTCTTTTGATAATATTTAAGGTCTGAGGTTTTCTTGTATACTAACCTTAAACTTGGCAATTAATACTTTATTACTAGAATTAAAACTCGTTTTCATGAAACTGTTAAAATGCAAGGAACACCAAAAAAATTCAACGAGCCATTGCTCTCTCCGTTGACCACACAACTACATTCTACGTGGAAAAACGTAGAAGAAACGGACGACAACATAATATTTTTTGAACATTACGACAACATAACATAACTTTGGAGCAACAAAACATGTCCACATGAAAAAGAAAAAAACATGTCCACATGAAATGTTTGAAAGCATCTAGCCAAAGCCAATAGCTCGAACATAATCTTGATCCAAAAACTCGAAGCCACTAATAGAATTGCAATTTTTCCGAGTATGAATAATCCATCATTAAGTGTTGTAAAAATTCGAGTTCCATCTACGAATCGTAACTAGGGTTTGTGGGTTTAAAGAGGTCTTTTATTAGAAGCCGAACCGGAGTTTGAATGAATACACGGGGGTTTAGGTCGTCGGAATAAGAACGCCGACCTAAACTTTTATGGAAAGTAAATCGAAAGCTAGAACAATTAGATTGCTTAGTTTGCCCTAAGTCTCGATAGATGATTTTTTGAATGGATTGAGGAGTCGAAGACTTCCTATATTTATAGCCGATCAAGTCGATCTTCAATCTGCTTGGAATAAGAAATTCTTATCGGCAAGGAGTTTCCTTTTTCTCCGGGTCGCTCGATAAATGGAAGATTCCTTTTATGTTGCCGACCTGGAACTTGTTAGACGGGCCGACCAGAGTTCGTATCGGGCTTGTTAGAGACGGTACGGATCTCATGTCTAACAGTAAGTCCCTCCCCCCCCCCCCCCCCCCCCAGTTTGGCAAGTGAGGGTACATTACTTGGTGAACTTCATGATGTATTGCTGGGTATGCATTCTGGTCGGCTATAAAAAAGAGTGAGAATAAAAAATGAAATTATTACTTGGACTTCTGATCGGCGCGATGATGAGGGCCAGATTGTGATTTTGGGCGTGAAAAGTTCCCGCCTAAAAAATGACGTAGGCTAGGCCTAGGTTTGCGCATGCAGAACTAGGGTTAACATGTGTCAAACCCTAGCAGGTGAAAGTGAAGAGGCTGATTAAAATTTAACAAGAAGAAATGTGGAGAGTCGCCGTGCTCATGATGATTCTCGATAACCGTCCAGATATTTCTATAAATAAGGGAGACTCGGTTCAATTTCCTCACTTCTGCATTTCTAGCGAAACTCTGTCAAAATCAGGTTTGCTCTCTCCCCTTTCCTTGTTCTCTTTTTATTTAGAATTTTATATCTGCCGACTAGACCTCCGCCGTGTTTCGTTCTGAACACCGATCGAGCATGGGTAAAAGCATTTAAATCAGGGAAAGACGACCAGGCTCAGAGGAAATCAGATCGGCGCAGAAGAGAGCTGACGTCCAGGTCGATAAAAGCCGATCGAAGGGAAAACGGGTCGTCGTTGAGGAATCAGAGTCAGATCGGTCCTCGGATGCGAGCGAGTTATCGGCGTTGGATCGTGCGTTCCAGGAACCCGTTCGAGAGAAGAACCAGCAAGCTGCGGCCGATCGGTTCCACGCCGATCAAGTTGGAATCGTCCAGAGGTCTGGGGAGACATCGTCCAGGGTCGAATTCGAGATTCTCGAGTTACGAGATGAAGACGATGTGAGAGGCGGATCGAACGAGATGGATATCTCGGACGAGCTAAACGCCATCATTGTTGAAGATGAAGTAAATCAGTTCGGAATTATCGACATGAATCCGCCAGTGGAGAAAGTTAAGAGGCGAAAAGGGGAGCCGGCAATTAAGCTGATCTGCGACAATGCTCTCGGGGTGATGCCGACCAAATCGACCTTGGAATCACTGGTGACCTTGAAGGAAGAATGCGATATTGGTCCTGAGGTGATCTTCATTGTTCCGAGCCCGTCAGAACGACCGTGGGATGCTCCTACAGGATAGCTATGTCTCCACGAATGTTTTTTCACGGACTTCCATATGTGGTTCCCGCTTCCGAGGCTTCTTCTGGAATTTGCTGCCCACAAAGAAATGCCGATCAGCCAGTTTACCCATGCGCCGATACGGCTGATTGTCAGCATGCTAGTGATGTCGACCAGGCATGATATCCCATTGAGTCGAGCAGCATTCGATGCTATGACGAACACTCGTCGTACGAAGGCCAATTTGAGGAACCGGGGTTCATATTATACGAGTATGAAGACTCGATACAACATCATAACTGGCGGTCACAAAACCAAGGTGGCGGATTGGAGAGATCGGTATTTCTTCGTGCTAATCAATGAATTTTCCATCGCCGACGCAGATAGAGATATCCCGATCAGAACGAAATGGGCGGAGGTCATGGGTAGAGACATGACCGATATGAAATACAGCATAACTTGTTATTTTTGTTTCTGATCGAATCTTTTTATTTTACAGGAAACAGGCCTCTTCCATTCGTTGACGATCCTCTCGATATCGACGATATCTCCAATCGATTCGCTGCGATCAGCACGATCACTTGGCCCGAGATCACAGAAGAAAGGATTGCGAGGACAAGAGGTTCGTTCGATCTGACTCTTTTTTACTTTTTCTAAACCTGCTTTGACACCCGGGGGCTTTCCATTCGATCTGACTCTTTTTTAATTTAGTTCTCAGTTGCGCTTGAACGACGCTCCCGACGATGAGAGAAGATGAAGTCTGTCACTTTTAAGGATCTGTCGGCCAATCTGGAATCTGCCCTAGTGTCTCCTAGTATTCGGAATCCAGAGAATCCTGCGGCTAAGGAAGCCGAGCAGGAGGCTCTAAACAAGGTTGAGAGGGACGCAGCTAAGGCTAAGAAATCGGCCGATAAGAAGGCTGCAAGGAGGATTGAGAAAGCTCGCAAAGAGACCGAGCAAGGGCAGAGGAGGAATGACGATCAGGATCATATTATCGTAGGTGAGGCTGAAGGCGGCGATGAAAGCCCTATGAACCCGAGGAAGCGGAATTCAGAAGAAAATTCTGAACCGCGGACGTCCAAGAGGTCTCGTGCTGAGAGACAACTACGTTCGTTCAGATTTTCCTACGAGTACCGTGGGGATAGCCCAATAGTGCACGATTCGGTGTCCTGCTTAGACTATTTCCTTAAGCTAAGGGACAACCCGGCAGGCCCACCTACTGACCCTCGCGGGTACATTCGCAGTGATGCGATTGCAAGTTTTGCGCATGAACAAGCCAAGGTAAAAAATATCCCGAATGCTTTTTTATAGGCCTTCTGTATTTAAAATGTCTGAATGCTGATTTTTTTTGTGAATACAGGCTCTGAGTACGGTGTTGACTGCCGTGAATGAGTACGACCGGGACGCGAAGAAGTTCCTGGCCGTGGGAGCTGAAGTGGAGAGACTTAAGGAAACTCTCGAGGTTGAACGGGGAAAAAGGGCCGAGCTGGAAACTGTGCTTCAAATATCTTCTGAGGAACTCGAGAAGGTTCGCACCGATGATGCTGAGAAAAGCAAACTGCTCAATCGAGCAGTCAAAGCTATTAAGAAGAAGAGGGCCGACTCGCAAACGAAGTTGGAGGCCGGGCTGAAGGCCGCTTACGAAGAGAAGATTGCCTTTGGGCAAGAAGTGGCAAAACGTATGTCGGTTGCGGTGAATAGCCACTATGCAGGTTTGGTCGACAAAGTGAAGGAGTCGCTTTCCCGTAAGGAGAAGGCTAATGAGTTGATATCGACCGCGGCTCAGTGGGTCGGAGCTAAAAAATCGCTTGAGATTATTCGTAAACAAGGATACGATTTTCCGGCTCTTGTTGAGCAGAACCTCGAGGAGCTGATTGCCAAAAGTAAAGCAAATCTTGATGCCTTTGAAGAGGTCAGCTTTACGTCGGAAGAGCTCCAAGTTCAGGATGTGGAAGTTTTCCTTGAGGTTTCCAGTGACATTCCATCTCTTACTGGCAGTCAAGAGCCTGATAATGCCAAGTCTCCTGAAGGAGGTGATCTGGAGAAAGGAGCGGGATCCGATCAGCCGGGTGAGCAAGATTCCGATCAACTCGCTAGTCAAGAAGACGAACAAGGAGAGATCCAGGAAGAAGCCGAAGACTAGCTTCTCCTAGTTTATTTTTTTTTTTTTGAACTATGTAATCGTGTGCCGTTCTGGCTTTTAAATTAATGAAAAATCTTTGACTAGAATGAAAATCTGAACATAACGGCGATGCGATATCGGCTTAAGTTTATGCGATTAAATTTCTAAGTACAAAATAAAAAACGATTGAGGTCGAAGTTTATTTCATACTTTGAGAAAAGTCTTAAGTCGAATACGAACTGCGCCTCGGTCGGCTTACTAATTTCGCATGACTTAAGAATTGCAGAGTGGATTCTGGCTCTAGCTTTGAAGTGTGAATACGAACATGCAGAAGGTCCGGCTTATGATTGTCCGTACCACTTCGCTTCTAAGTGTGAATACCCGATGTGCGATTCAGGTCAGCGTCGATTCATCGGTACCACTTAGAAGCATCCGAGTCGAATGCGGATGCAAGACTGACTTGACTGATAACAACGCATGGCTCGGATATAGGAAAACAGGTAAAATTGTAGGATGCAAGGCGGACTTGGCTTTAAGTTGCCGAGCTAAAGTGGATCAGACTCTAGCTTT